TTAATATGCGTCATAAATGAGGATACATTAGACGACATTAGAATCAATTTTCAATTGAAAAGAAATCTAATGTTATTTGTAAATTTATTTAATATTGTGATTTTAAAACGTGATTTAAAGAATAGTTTTTATAATATATAATTTCTTAATAATAATAAGATAAAAACTTTCTTATTTTGAAATAAGGGTAAGCTTTAGCTAATCTAACATGTAGACATCAAGAATGTTATTACTAACAAGGAGATCGAGCAAGGTGGGTTCCAAAGAAATCCAGAAATCATCATTGGCTGCCTGAACAATAGCGTCAAGTCCTGTTGACATTGAACACCGGCTTTTGGTAACTCCTCAGTGAATACATTAGCCTCTCGAACAATATAGTGGATTTGGCATCCTCCCATCCAAGACTTTAAGTTATCATTAATAATCTATATGCTTCCATCGGTCATTAAAATGATTTTTCAAATACAAATCACTGATTGATATATCTTCGATTATCATTCTACTTTTTTAATTCACATCGTGGGTGAACATTTCATCGGCAATTTTGTTGAAACATTAATCAATATGCCGACTACATGAGAAGAATATAAAATACAAAAATAAAGCATTAAGCATGTCAATGGTTGAATTCGAGAAAAAGTGAGAATCTTGACCAAAGGATTTAAATCTTATCATAAATAATCCCTAACCAACATTGTTTAAACAAAAAATGAATAAAACAAATCAATATTTCATAGTAATAAATACACAAATCTTGACCATTATTAAACAATCCAACAATACATAAGACAAAGGTGAAAATGAATATAAACTAAATAATTACAATGAATTTTTCCATTCTATCATTGAAAACCAAAATAAAACAAAGTACATAAATCAATAGTAAAAAAGATTAATAAAGGTTAAAATACATGAGAGGTCCTTATACTCATGCGTTTTGTTCAATTAATGCCACGTCAGCATGTAGGAGCCATGTGGCATGCTAAAAGACTACCGCGTCACTCTATTCTTCTCCAAAACACAATGTGCTTTTACTAAGATTTGAATTTAGAACCTCTAACAAGAATACTAAGCTCCTTATTATCATGTCTAAGACTTGACTTTTACTAAATTTTACTTTTGATTTTTTTTTGTCTTATCATGTGACTTTGACATGTTGATGTGACACTATCACGTCATTTTAATATACTAACATGATAGTGCCATGCTAGCAACTTGAGCCTTAATGTTGACGTGGAGCCTTAATGATTGCCACATCAGCATGCCGTTACTTCACATTGTCACGCTAGTAAAATGTGTCACGTCAACATTAACCTCATCCTATTTAATGGCTGAATTGGATATTATTAAGAGGAGGGACTAAATTGGAGCAATTTGTAAAATTGAGAGACAAAATTGCTTCAAATTGGAATAGAGGGATTCAATTGAACAAAATGTCTGAGTACAGAGACCTTCCAAGTATTTTGACCAATATATATTAAGCAAACAAGTAAGATTGCTATGAAGATTATGAATAAATTTTCCTACTGGGAAACTGTTATCACAAGTTGACAGTAATAAGGCAATTTAGCTTAAAAATGCAAAAATAGTGTACAACTCATATTGTCTTTATTTTTTGTGGATTTTTTCAAAAGGTAAGAATTTAAGGTTCTGCATGTGTTAAAATTAAAAGTTTTAAATTTAAATATCAGAATAGAAAAAATATAATTTATAAGATGAATGTGTCATTCAAAATCTTTATGTCGAAACAAAAACTTATAATTTGATCTCTAAGTTGATCAATGATTTTACTATTAACTAAGCTTCATTCTGTGCAGTATTTCAAGTCAAAGATAAGGTTGAGGCAAGGAGATTTTATTTCTTTGCTACTATTTATCCTTGCTGCAGAAAGGCCAAGATTTTCATTTGAAGAAAAAGAGAAAGGAAGAAGGGAAGAATCGCGTAGAAGAGGAAAAAGCATTGGCGGCTAAAGAGAGAAAGTAAAAGGGAGAAATGAAGAGAGAAGAAGTAAAGAAGGAATAAATAGCTAAGTTTGGAGAGATAAAACAACGTCGTTTTGGAGTTTTAATGGAGAAGAGGCAAATTGGTGTAGTTTTAGGACTTCAAGTTGCCACACAAGCACCAAAACGGTGTGTTTTGAGTGAGGCTTCACAAGCACCAAAACGGCCGCTCTTAGCCCTAGCAAGGTATGGGCTCCTTTGAGCTTTGATGCTTGAGTTATTTTATTGGGTTGAATTATATTAATTATTATGTTAGTTAAGTCATTAAATCTATTATGATTTGCTTAAATTAGTTTCTCATATTTAAAAGTTTGTTTTTATTTTTATTTAAGGTTAGTAAGTAAAATAATATTAATAATAATAGGTATACAAGTAATAATTGAGAATATATGTACCTATATTTATTTTAGAGTAAGAAGATTAAAAAGAACAAAAATAGAAAAACTATAGGAAAAAATAATAATAGATAAATATTTAGTTATAAAAAATAATAAAATATCTAGTAAACAACTTTATAGATTTAGGTAGATAAAATATATACATATATGTAAAAGGAAAAAGGAGAAAAGAAAGATCTAAAAATTAACTTTTAGGTAAAAGAAGAATAATATGATAAATATAGAAATAGATAAATATTTAGTTATACGAAAACGGCATTTAAGTAGATGAAAAAATAAGTATATAAAGTAAACATATTTAGTTATAAAATAATAATAATAATAATAATAATAATAATGAGTTAAGATTTAAAAGGTAAATAACTAGTTGTAAAAAGTGGGTATAGAAGAAAATAGAATAAAAAAGAGGAAAGTAATATTTAGGGTTAATAATTAAGAAAATAGAATATATATGTGTGTAAAAATGCATGTGCATATATAATATTATTAATAGAGAGAATATTAAATTATATCGACGATGAGATGTCTATTTAGAGCACGAGAAGTCACAATTCTGAATAAATTTCCTTAGATTAAGGATTTTTATTAAGACCCCACTAGTATAATAGGATGGTTTTAATTTTAAATCCCGATGTTTGCAATTTAAATAAATAAAAAACAAATTAAATTAATTTCTAATCAAACAAAAAAATAAAAAATAATAGAATAATAATGACAATAATAAATACAAGAAGGAATAACTGAAATGCATTTTTTAAAAATATATAGGGCTATGAAAAATGATGATATTCATAATGATAAATAAATAATAAAAATAAAATTTTCAAAAATAGTAAACTAATAATAACAATAAATATAACTAAAATATAAAAAGCAAATGTATATAATCATAACAAATAGACTTATGGGAAAAGAAAAAAAATAGTTAGTCAAAAGAAAATAGGTTAGGCAATTAAAAAAAAAAGAAATTGAGTGATAAGAAATATACGCATAAATAATAGTAATCCTGAAACAAAATATTTGATTAAAGAAATAGTGTTTAGGTATAAGGAAAATATACATAGAAAAATAGATAAATACTTAAACATATAAGAATATGTAATAAAATAAAATTAAGTAAAAATAAAATATTTATTCATGATATACATATATATAAAGATAAATAATTTCTAAACAAATAACAAAAGAGTTACGGGAAAGTTTAGAATGAATACTGAAATTTATGGGTACATCACAACTCATTATTGTATTGTTAAATGTCATGGCATGTAGACGTATTGTGTGCACGAGTCAAAACCCCAATAATGGGATTTTTCGAAATAGCTTGCGAAGATGAGTTCCTTTGAAAAATTTCTTAGGTGAAAAGATACCTTCGAGTCTCACTAGTATGATAAGAGGGCTCGGAGGATGTTTTTAATAAAAGACTTTTGCTCGTAATAGATTTGCATTCACGAAAAAATATAATTTTTACATGCAAACAACTATCTCAATGATGAAATGTACTCGTTAAATTTGCAAAAGCGAGTTTCTTGGGTATTTCTCTAAGTGAAAGAATATTCCAAAATCACACCAGTGTGATGGGCGGATTTGAGAAGTACACTCAATAAAATATTTTCGTTTAGCATTATTCAAATTTTATGCCATGCATTTTATAATTGCATCATCTACACGTCACACTCGTAAGATCAAATAAAATGTTTAATTTGTTAATAAAATAAAGAACAAAGTAAATAAACAGTAATTAGGGAAACATAAGAATAAAATCAATGGTTTAGACTATAATAGGATAACATATAATTAAATTGCACTGTTCATGAAACAAACGTCACAAAGTGCTAATCCTTCCCCATGCATAAACGTACTCTAGAACCTTACTTTAAAAAATTTTCTTAGACCAAGTCATTGTTCCTTTGATAGACCTAAAATCAATTTAGAACTCCATTAAAGAGAACTAACGTAATAAATGGCCAATCGCATCTAAACAAAAAAGATTGATAATGATTTCCTAAATTTTTTACCTCTAACGATTGGGTTCTTGGACCTGGCACATTACAACAACCGCAACAGCTTGAACTGTAAGGGAGAGAAAGAAAGCTGCGGAAATTAGATGATGAGAAAGCTTGGTAGCCATTGCTTTTGATAAAGGTAGTAAAAAAAAATTCAATTATGGGAATTTTTTTGTTGTTTTTGTAATTAAACCAAAGCCAAAGATTGGCTACTTCTTAGAGTCGCTTTGAGTTTGAATTCAATGATCAGCTTGGAGTACGAACTTAAATTTGAACTTAACTTTACTGAGAGAAAAAAAATTTAAGTTTAATCAGAATTTGATTTAAGTTTATGAATGATAGAATGATCTATTCATACAAAACCTAAGCTTATATTATATATTGATCCAAGTTCGATTATCTTTAAGCCAAATATGAAAAATTCTTTTAAGTTGTCAAAATAAAAAAGATATTACTCAGCCTAATTATTTCGCTCATTTGCAGGCTAAACACTTATCATTTTCTGCCTTCGTCTTTTTAGCGGGCATTAAATGAATGAAAGGGAAACTTCGAAGCTTTCAAATGCATAAGAAAATATATAGATAGGACACAGCAACTTTATTCTAGAAATTATGCATACGTTTCATTGAAATTATGGCTTTGATATTTGCTTGTAGATCACTTCTTATTCCACTCTTTCATCTGTGTCTAATCACTTATTTAATATGCTATAATCAAGCTTCTGACTCATGAAACCTGCATTGGTGTCAGCAAAGCAAGATTTTGCTAATAGCCATACAGAGCTCGTAGACCATTAATGTCATCTTGGCCTAAGTTCCTTTTGGTAGCTCCAGCTGGTAGAGATGGAAACATGATCGCAGCTTGATCCTGACTATGACCAAGGCCGAGATTATGTCCTATTTCATGCACAGCTACAGACTGCAGGTCTATTTGGTTAGATGCAGTAGGATTAGGGCTCCAATTCTCGTCTGCATCATAGTGAAATCTCCCATCTTGTGGTGCAAAAGCATGAGCCAAAATGTTTCCAGGGCCATCAAAAGGATAGCCATCCCCATGATCATATCGGTAAAACCCGATCCTGATATCTGCTCGGTTGCCTTGTGCTACCTCCTGGAATCTGAATGGAGAAACATTTGCCCATGTCTGGAATGCCTGGGCAATGATAGGTCTTAGTACTTGTGGGCTAACTACCTGGACGCCGGGTAGGAAATTGTAGGTAAGTTGGTACCTGCTCCATCTAGGATTTCCAGGGAAAAAGGAATAGTTAGCAACCAAGTGAAATATGACGCCATGAGGAGTTCCCCCAGTGCCATTAGAAGTTCGGATAGGGATGATATCAGGCACACCACATCTAGGGATCATCATTGTTTTAATTGTATCATGGTCAATCTTGCCTGTTACTTTGAGATAATAATTTTGTTGATATGCTTTAAGGGCAGACTCTAAAGAGTCGTCAAAATGATCGTCAGTAAGATTGAGGTCATTGGGGTAGTAACCAAAGGCCTTAAGGTACTTCTTGACTTGACTAAGCCCATTGAGAGTATCTCCGTTCTGAGCTCGTTCAAGATTCCGAAGGGTTTCGGGTTCTAGAGGTCTAGACTTAACTACAAAAGGTTGCAGAACAAGGAAGAGAAAGATAGCTCCAAAAACCTGATGAGAAAGTTTTGGGGCCATTGCAAGCTAGCTAGGTAGTAAGATCAACTATTGCTTTGGTGTTTTGGGGTGCATTATGGTGCTTGGCTTCATGCCTATTTATACTAAAATGCTGTAGCATTGAAGTTTAGGCTAGATTATTTTGGCTTTCTACACATGAAAGAGAAAAAGAAGAAAATTCTATTGGCGTTTAGGTCACCACTCACTAGATGTGAGTTCCGTAATTGTGATTAATTTTTCTAGTTCATTGAACCCATTTAATTTGATATATTTTTCTTATTTTTTAAATATAAACATATAATACATATATTTCAGTTCATATATAGACCCATTTCATTTGTAATATTTATCTAGATTATCACTAATGAAACTCATACTTTTCAAAAAAAAATATTTATCAAGATTAAAAATTAGATCCGCTGAAATATTATCATGAAATAGGTAAGTATATTACAATTGAATTAATATTTTTTTTTGCGTATTTATTAGTTAGTAAATATGAAGAAAATATATCAAATTCATATTTTAATGTCATTTTTTTAACTTTTTTAATCAAATAGGCACGTGATCATTACGATTTCTAAATTTATTCTTAAAATGTTAATAATTTAATATATATTTTTATACATATACATACATACATATATTTATATATATATCTTCCTTTAAAACCAACCTATATTCATTTATGCAGTTTGGTATCTACTCTCGTTTGCAACCATTCACTTTAGATAAACTCAAAAATGGAGGGTGGAGATATGGGGAACTAATTTAGTGTCATTAATTTTGGCACTTGGCATGTATATGTTTCCCTCTGTCATCGCTATAGCCAGAGCTCTTACTCAGTTGCACTTCCATTTGATATGGATAAAAGCATTATCCTACATCAACTACGATTGGCAAAGTATGATTACATATGAAAATAAAGTTTTTTTTTGTTTTAGTTTCTATATATTTATATGCAAGAAATTTTTTTATTTATATTTTTTATTGTTAGTATTTTATATTTTTATAAATTCACTTATGGTAAAAGTTTTAAAATTAATCATCAATGTAGAAATTAATAGCCCGTAGCAAAACTTCACAATATTAAAGATATTTTTAATGAATGGTCCAATAATTGATAAGGGTTACTCCGACCTAACAAAAGAAACCAGACAGTAGTAAGCTAGCTCGTTGTCAACCATACAAGAAACGTAGTATGCTGACTGATCAGGGCCTCGGACTTTGAAGAAACTAATCGGAGGTCGTACAGGTGGGTTTCTAGAAGTAAGCAATCCAGAAATCATCATTGGCTACCCAAACATTAGCATCAAGTCCTGTTTACATCGAACACCGGCTTTTGATAACTACTCTGCGAATACATTAGCTTCTCAAACAATATATTGGATTTGGCATCCTCCCAGCCAACACTTTAAGTTATCAATTTAATAATATATTAGCTTCTGTTGGGCATTTCGTCGATCAGTAAAATGACTTTTTAAATACAAATTACGAACTGATATTCTATTAGGAATTTCATCGGCTATCAAACTACCTTTTTAATACACATAATTGATGGATATTTTATTGATAATTCTGTTAGAACATTGATCAATGTACCGATTACATTTTTTGTTGATAAATCAGTCGGCAATTTTCGTTAGTAATAAATATACTAACAAAATGGATCCATCGATATTTTTTGTGCCCTTCCCTTTTAATGCACCCCAAATAATTAACAACAGAATATACTCTGATGGAAAATCCTAACAATATTCTATTGATGATACATCGAATATTTGATTATTTTCAATCCGTCAATATTTCATCAACAATTGATAGAAAGTTATTAACAGATTTCTATCAATGGACTTGACTTTGTCATTAAAAGTCCGTTTTTCTGATAATAAGTGAAACGTAAATAATATGAATATAATAAAAGGTATCAAACATGTAACCAGCTAACCAGTTAGATGGAAAACTTGTTTGATTATAGTATCAATAATTGAAAAATATCATGAAAATTTTGTTTTAATATGAATATGAATATAATTGAATAACTATTATTATCGTATACATCGATGTTGTAGTTGAAAAAATTTTATAACTTTTTGTTTATATGCTTGTCACGCATTCAATCTAATTATAAATTAAATTGATATATAACAATCATATAAATTCACATATAGTAAAATTTTGAAACTTCATCATCTATTTATAGGATTGTAGCTCATAGAAAAACTTTATAAAGCTGAATAAGTGATTAAAGGGATATTTCTTACAAATGATGCGATAATTGATCAGACTGGATCAAACCACCATTTTAGGTTGCATGCCCACATAGTTGTACCATATCTTTAATTTACAATCCTGGCCTAACATAAAACAAGATATTTGGCCCCTGTTTATGCTTTGTACAATATTCAAATGTACATCCATGAATGAGGATATGTTTGACGTGAATGTGTAAACATCTAGTCTTTATTTCAAAAGATATTTACTTTATATATGTAAATTTATTACATTATTATTGTGATTAAAAATGTGATTTAATGGTACCCGAGCATTTGGTTTATTGATTGGTGCATTATCTCTTACCTACAGAACAGGGTTCAAATCTCCCCTCCCCTAATAAGAAAAAAAAGTGATTTAATGAATATTTTCTTACAAAAAATGGCAATGTATATATTTTTATAATTGAAAAGAGGAGAATTTAAATTCTACTCTTGTCTAAATATCATATACCAACCAATGAACCAAATGCTTGGAGTGCTATATATATGCAAGGGCTATTAGATAATTTGTTCAATTCTTAATTAATTAACATAAAAGCATTTGAACATTTGAATCATAATAGATGTATTATCTTTATTCAAAATATTGGGTTTGAATTTTTCATTCTCTCAAATAAAAAATATAATTATAATAAAAATTACTAATATTTATTGATACCTAAGAAAATTTTAAGAATGAGATGCATCTCCCTTATTGATGCTCTGTAAAATGGTCCATTATGCATGTATCGAGAATTAAAAGACATTTAGAGGCATATTCACCACATCACAATTCTACCAGCGGCTCTTGAGGCTCCGAGAGGTCTTTATTCCTTTTAAGTGTAAATTATTTGTACCATAAATTAATTTAAGATAATATCTCAAGTCTTGCCCAACAATTAATGAAGTAATTAATTGTTAATTAGTCATCCCATGATGATTATCTTGGAAAACTAGCCAGTGTTTTATCTTTAATGATGATAAGGTTGAAATTAAACCCAAATTTCCAACTTGAACTTGAACATGATTTAACTTTGTTAATGATTCATAATACCAAATCAATCCCAGTACAAAACTAAGATTGTAAAATATTCAAGCCAAGTTTGATGATGTATGTATATACAAGCTTGAATCAGGTAACGGTTTAAGCAAAATTGAAACAAACTTTAATGAAATCATAATCAATTTGGAAACGTACAAGTATATATTCTATAAAGTAGCTGCTCCTCTTTTTGTTGGTTGCTGCTTTTTCCTCCTTTGGATCGTGGGTTTTTATATCCACGGTCGGTTGAGGGGTGGGGTAGCCGACTGTTTATTTGTCTGTTATTTCTTTTGTTTTATTTAGTTTTATTTCTTGTTCTTTGCTTTAATTTTGTTCTAATCTTATTTTTATTTAATTATACCCTTTGATCTGTCTTTAAGTTTGATTAATTAGTAAATCTTGTTTTCGGCCATGATCGTTGGGCTTATTGAATTATAAGGCCCAAAGAGCTCCTAAAGACAAAGCCCTAAGATGAGTTGTACCAATTTCCAAGCCTAAATAACTAATGGCTAAAAATGAAAAATAAAAATATGAAATTAAAAAAATGGATTTTTTTTTTTGAAAAAATGGGTGTCTACACATATAAGTCATTTTGATACAGCCATTCCTTATATAATAACAAAGATAAGGCCACACCACTTAAATTCTTCTGTTAAGCATAGATGAGGCTTCAGTTTAGAGAAACATATGGAGAAATAATTTAGTTATTAAATATATACCAGGCAGACAAGCAAGATCGCTATGAAGATTATGAATAAATTTTTCTACTGGGAGAAACCTCTTTGTTATCACAAGTTGACAGTAATAAGGCACTTTAGCTTGAAAATGCAAAAATAGTGCACAACTCATATTATCTTTGTTTTCTGTGAATTTTTTCAATGATAAGAATTTAAAATTCTGCTTGTGTTAAAATTAAAAGTTTAGAAATTTAAATTTTAAATAAAAGAAATATAATTTATAAGATGACTGTGTCATTCAAAATCTTTTATATCTAAACAAAAACTGATATTATGATCTCTAAGCTGATTAATTATTTTAATATTAACTAAGCTAAGCTCGGAATTTCCCTACAAGGCAAAAAACACCCATGAGCTGCTAGTAGGCCCGTTAGCCGTGTCTGCCTGCAAATGAAACATGTTTATGCACAAGGTGCCTTATTTTCTACAAAGAATTACCCATCATTAAATGCAGTCGTGGAACCAATATTTCATGTTTTGAAGATGGAAATAATGTCTATTTAATAATTAGATTAAAAATTTAATGTTTGTAGGAGTAAAATTATAAAATTTTGTAATAGTTTTAGTTTGATTTTTTTTAAAGTTTCAATTTTGATCTTAATTATTTTAAATATTTGACTAAATTGAAGTTTAATAATTATGTATTTGAAAATTATTTTATTCATAGGTTTGCAAAGAATATATTTAATATTAAGTAGTAATGATTCATAAACAAAAAGTAGCCAAATTTAGAAAAATTTGATTAAAAAAAAGTCAAATTTAGATATTAATTATGAAAGGAAAGATTGTTACTGTATTAAAAAAGATACAACTGGAGAAAAAAAAGAAAATCTTAATCCGTCTCAGCCCGTGAAAGAAATTCAACTCCCCATCATTAGGAAAGCTCATTTCCGTACTAGCTATACAAAGCTCGTATGCCATCAATATCATCTTGGCCTAGATTCCTTTTGATGGTTCCGGGCATGTATAAAGCGAACATAATCGCATTCGGATCCTGACTATGTCCAAGGCCTAGAAGATGTCCTATTTCATGCACAGCTACGGATTCCACATCAATTTGGTTCATTGTGGTGGGATTAGTGCTCCAGTTCTCATCTGCATCATAATGAAACCTTCCGTCTTGCGGTGCAAAAGCATGAGCCAAAACGTTTCCCGGGCCGTCGAAAGGATAGCTATCCCAATGAAAGCGGCGGTGAAACCCGATCACGATATCGGCTCGGGTGAATGTCGGTGCCTCTTGAAATGTGAATTGAGAAACAGCTGCCCATTTCTCGAAAGCCCTTGCGATGATAGGCCTCAATTGTTGAACGCTGATCACTGTTGCACTGGAACGGAAAGTGTAGGTGAGTTGACGCTTGCTCCATTTAGGCATCCCATCAAAAAAGGTATAATTAGGTACCATGTCAAGCTTGTCATACTCAAAATTTGACTCGTTAAAAATGTCAGCAACACCACATCTAGGGATTAACATTTCTTTGATGGTATCAGGGTCGAATCTCCCTGATACCTCGAGACGATAATTTTTTTGATATTTTTTGAGGGCGGATTCCAACGAGGCGTCATAATCATCAGTGAGATTGATGTGATTAGGGTAATAGCCAAAGGTCTTGAAGTATTGCTTGACTTGATTAAGCCCTTTAACTTTGTATCCCTTTTGAGCTCCCTGTAGAAATTGGAGGGAGTTGGAAAATTGGATTTCAGACTTAACCACCAAAGCTTGAACTACAAGGAAGAGAAAGAAAGCTTCGGAAATTAGATGATGAGAAAGCTTGGCGGCCATTGCTTCTGCTTGAGGCAGTAGAAGAAAATTCAATTATTTATACTCAAAAAGTTGGGTGCTTGCATGCGTTTACTACAACAACTCTCTTTGATAAATGTTTAGGCTACGTTCGGCGCAAAGTCTTCCTTCCTATTTATTTACTTACTTTATTCTACACAAATTGACCATAGAAGTAATTAAGTTAGGACTGCCTTCAATTTTACTTTTTCATGCAAGATAAACAAAAGAAAATTTAATGTCGAGTTCGGTAAGCACTAAAAGAGCTAAGACCAGATATTAAACTCCAAAAAAACCGATAGTTTTAAATTTATATTTGACATAATTTCCTTTTACTAGCAAAATAAACTTGTGATCTTAAAAGTAAATATTTTCACTTAAAAATCTAACCCCATATTTCATTGTTCTTGTACATTTATAATCTTGAAAAGAATTTTCTATTTACTTTTCTTCTTCACTCCTTTTCGTTTTGCCAAAATTTTCTATTTAATTTTTAACCATTCAATTTTTAGATTGACTTTATCTTCTCACTCACTTTTTAAATAGATTTTTAATAAATGGTGAAAATGGAAAAAAAAAAAAGAAGAAGGCAATTTAGGGGAGTGAAGGCTATAAAGTAACACTGTACCATGAATTAATGTCTTCAAGTAGCTCGCCGGGCTACTTTCTTTCCAAAGGTTGGGAAACTTTACAAAAATGGTCCCATTTTGTTCTGTTTCTCTAAACGGGATGATGATGTTTTCTTGAACTAGGCTTTTATTACCAATTGATATATCTCTTTAAGAAGATTGTGATTTAAGAGTAGTATTGGAAAGATTTTTATCCCTTCACTATTAGGATTTTAAATTTCAAAGAGTTTGATTTTATTAATGGGAGCTGAACTAATCAATTGGGCGTATAGTATTAAGAACTCATTTCTACTCTTATAATCTTTTATTGCTTTTAAAGATCTTACCTAGCCTGCTGATCCATTGAACTTTGAAACCTTCAAACTTTTGCTCCTTTGCTACCTGGATCTCATTTACAAAAGGCCTAAGTCTCCAGTTCCCTTCAGTCCTATCCTGTTGGGTATCTTCATGCACCAATACAGAGTCAATTTTCAACAACAAATTTCTTCAGATTCAGAATGGAGCTAATTAAACTCCTTCCTTAAAAGCCACGGCTTCAGCTTCAAAGCTGGAGCTTACCAGAACCTTCCTCATTTCTTACTAACACCCCCAATCCCTGCCTCTTTTGTGTTATGACAAAAAGCACCATTGTCCATCGCAGTTTACCTTGTTCCAGCCTTGATCAGGATTTTCCCTAGCATTAGAGTTTCTCTGCCTATGACCAAGGGTGGAGCTAGCTAATTTTTATTAGGAAACCAAAAGCTAAGAAGAATAAAAATTAAAAATTTTTAAAATTAATATATTGAACTTAATCATTAATAATCAAAAAATTTATAATAGATAATAATTTTATATAACATGTAAATAAAAAAATAAAAAAAACTTATAATAGTGTTCTAAGAAAATTTTATTGGATAATAATAATATCTTTTTAAATATAAATAATTAAATTATTTGTAAAAAACTTATCACACATTTTGTTTTGTAATTTTACCTTTCTCAATATAAATGACTAAAAAATTAATATAATCAACATCCAATATTCTTATTTTATTATATTTAAGTTTATAATACTAAATATTAAACTATAATTCATAAAATATAAATAGTTAAATACGATATACATAATTAATAATTTTTTCTAATACTCAGGATAATTTTCTTTCAACTAAATATAAAACGTAAAGCACATTAAAAACATATACTCAAAATAATTTTTCTTATATAATTAGGATTAATAAAAATAATATATTAGTAAAATTTTAAACAATAACCAATAATGTAATACTAGAATTTATATTTGAGAATTACATATATAATAAATTTTTAATTTTTAAAAATTAAAATCATTAAAAATAAATTTCACATAATAGAAAATAAAAAAACATGATAAATAAGAGATATAACCTATATAATAAAAAAAAGAATATGATTAATGATTCGTAGAAATTTAAAAGAAAAAATCTATACAAATTTAAAATATATGAGTAAATAGAATAGAATTGAAAAACATAAATAAATATAAATAATAATAATAATAATATAAATAAATTAAATATAAATTTTAACTTTTTATAATTTCACAATATAAAGATAGAAAAAAAAAAGAAATATGGATGACGAAATTTAAAAAATTAAAAAAAATTTAAAAATTTGAATAAAATTTGTAAAATCATTTTATTATTATTTTAAGTATATTAATTATTTAATGAAAAATTATTTTAAAAAATTATTAAAAATATATAATATATAAAAAATTTCAAAAATTTGAAGAGACCCATTATAAAGGGACGCTATGCCCCTGCCTATGACCTTGACTCTTCACCTTGTTATCCTTTTCGAGTAAATGCATTAGTTCTGAAATGGCACCATTTATCTCCCTTAATTACAACTGTAACAATACTCCGCATTACATTCTGCGTATCTCTCTTCCCAAAAAAACCAACAAGCATAAGCAACAGAAATAAGTAAACCTTTTTTATGCTCTGGCTCTACGTTGCACCCATCAACAACTTTCCCAAACCACTCATCGAAGGAAGTGATCTGATCTCTATTCACTTTATGACCAATATCCAAACCAAACCATACTGCCATATACAGACCAATGACAGAGCAACAAGTTAAACATGTTCAATGGCCTCTTCCGCCTTTTTGCATATAGGGCAAAGGGGTTTTTCTTTGTCCCTTCTTTTTCACAAGTTCAAACTGTAGAGAGTTAAGAGGAGGAGACAGAGAGAAGCTTTATATGTAACTATTTAATTTCTCATTTGAATGTATCTATACAAGTACATCATTGCGCTCTATATAGGCTGTTTTACAAGAGAAAAAGTGTAAGGAAACTCTCCAACGGTTATATACTTATAAGGAAAGGCGATATATGTTCTGGACAAAATCTCACTGACTTCTGTGCAGAGATTTTTTGTACATACTGAAATTTGTTTGATTGTTATTGTCTTCACTTGCTGACTTGATTCATTTAACTGCTTCTGTCACATTGATTCTGTATGCTGCTTCCTTATTGATGGCTGATGATCATTGGTCATTGTCTTGTTTGTACAGGTCTGTTGCGTAACATTGCTGTTGCTACTGAAGTTTATCTGCTGCTGCTGCTGTCTATCCTTCTGCTGAGGTTTTTGTTCAAGCATCTATTTTTCAATCTTCTGTTGCTGTGTTCCTCCAGTCCTTCTCAAACTAGAAATGGGTTAATTGTTATGCATATGGCTGATGTTGTCACGAAGTAGTGTAGCTGGTTGAGGCATGTATAGGCCAACATCTTTAAGAATGTAGAATGTCTAAGTAAGTTTAGCAAATATCATACCAGACATCCCAGTTTAATCTCTTGGTTGAGTCACAAAGCACACTTGTTTGTTATGATATTATACTAACTAGTAATTATCTTAGTTATTTAAACAATTTCATTCAAGATCTTGGTAATATCCATTGCTTCCTTAGCATAGAAGTACATCCTTTTCCTCAAGGTCTTTTACTTTTTTCTTTTTTTTTTGAAAAGTAATAAAATTTCATTATCTGACCTAACTCAAAACTGTACGTCTTACAAAAGAAGTTCCTGACTAACAAAAACCAGGAAAAATTTGCTTTTGCTCTTTTTACCAAAACACAAATGAGTGATTGCAACCCAATCTCTACACCTTTACCTACAAAAATAACACTCGACATCCTTTGAAGATTCATCACTATTAAAGTCTAGTTAGTGGTTTGCAATGCTTAAGACGTACAAGACCTGACATCATATTTAATGTTAATTATGTTTCTCAATTCATCACTTTTAAGCATGGAAGCGTCTAGAGGTGTTCCAAGCATGGAAGCTCCTAAGGGTGTTCCAAGTGCGGAAGTGCCCAAAAGTGTTCAAAGTGCAGAAACACCCAAAGGTGTTTTAAGTGTACAAGCACTTAAAGGTGTTCCAATTCCAAACATGGAAGCACCAAAAGTGTTCTAAAAGCGGAAGCGCCCAAAGATGTTCCAAGCGTGGAAATGCCCAAGGGTGTTTCAAATATAAAAGCACCTTAGAGTGTTCCAAAAGCGAAAACGCCACATGATGTTCTAAGCGGGAAAGCACTTAAGGGTGTCTCAAGCGTTGAAGTGCCTAAGGGTGTTTCGAGCGTGGAAACGCTTAGGGTGTTTTGAGCGCAGAAGTGCCCAAGGGCAATCCCAGCGTAAAAGCACCCAAGAGAGTTCCAAACACGGAAACACTCAAGAACAAGTATGGAACAATTGTTTGTATAAGGAAGTGAAAGAAACTCATATTAAATGGTAGGGTTCATGAGTTACCTTCACATTTGGAAAGTTCTAAAGAGCTTGGCTTAATGGCTCAGATATGGAGATAGTTAAAAGGACTTCCTTTTAACATTTCTTTGAAATACATGTGTTTACCTTTTTTTTTCTTTCTTAAAAGTATAAGTGGCGTGCTATTAAGTGTCACTATTCCATTACCTAAAACTTATTCCAACTATTCAACTACATTACCATTTTCTTAATATCTCATAAACTGCTCTTTAATTGCTTTTCCATGACAAGCATGTTCTCTCATAATTGAATGTGTTCTCCTAATTACTCTTAACAAAGTACTCTTGATTAGTATAAATATGAAAACCTTTGAAGTTGGGAAACAATAAAAAATCATTAGAAACCCAGTGAAGATTATCCTAAAAGCTTTCTCAAGACTCCTTCAACATTTTTTCTTTTTAGCCTTTCCTATTTTCTGTAATCTGTCACTTCTTCCACTTTTCTTATCCCTCACCACCTACCACCAAAGCACTTACGCTTCAAGGACTACTTCAGTCTTGCAACACATCCTCTTTCTTTAACAAAAGAACCCTCTACATTTAGGCGACTCTATTAAGGATGAGTGATTTCAGTAAGTGAAAAAGTTACTGTAAAATTTTTTGTCAAAAAGATGT